GCTTTGGTTAATTCGGTGATGAACCTTCGGGTTCCCTAAGCCATCTGGTTGGTTGGGTCCACTATTTGGGAAGCCTGAGGGGAAGAGACCGCTGGGGAGACCTAGACGTAGATGGGAGGATAATCTCAGGCGGGATCTATGGGAGACAGGAGTTGAAGGAGACAGGGTGTGGTGGAGGGCTTTGGTTAGTTCGGTGATGAACCTTCGGGTTCCGTAAGCCATCTAGTGAGTTAGTTAGTTAGTTAGTTATTAAAAATGAGACGGATTGATGATACTGATGATTAGACTAATATACAAATAATAATCTTTTGTGATTAACAAAATATATTTTTATTTCATTTGGTTTGAATACGCACAATAATGTAATGAAAACAAAACAAAAGACAATAATTCTAAATAAACAATGGATAACCAGGAAACATCGAGATCAAATTGAACTAAGGATAAAATAACGCGAGAATATTGAAGAGAGATATCGAATGAACTTTGCGAATGAATTGAAGCAGGCGAGACTGGTTCTCTGAAAACATGTTGGAATGACGTCGATCCAACTACACACGCTTCACAGCAACCAAGGCCATAGATTTCGACAATTTTATTCTTCACTGTTTATTCATCGATTCCTCTCTTAATTTTCTCGTCCAACCTCGCGATTTTCACTTTTGTCCGAACTACGTGATTCGCCGGTTTTGAGTTTATGTTTGTCCAGTTTGTTTCGGTCAAGTTGGTCTAGTTTTAAATTGTATTTATTTTCCATCTGTCTTATTTCTTCTATCCAATAATCCACTTCGAATTGCAGATCCCTGTTTCTTATCTTTAGCATCTCATTCTCGTTATGGTAGGATTGGGCTTTCAATAAATATCGGTCGCGGTCCGCCATTAAACACTCGATGTAATTTTTGTCTGCCTGCAAACATAACACAACATTCAGAATAGGTTTATCAAAAACATTGTTACATTCAAATTCCTTATCTTTAACATTCGTAATCTTTGAAATCATCACGTAAAGGTCACACTTACTTTTTAACATCTGTTGTTAAGATTTTTTGCCAGCCTTTAACTATTTACATTTTATTATTGACAATGCGTCCAGACCGGCTCTGGGGCCCACCCATTCTCCTATCCAATGGGGACCGGGGTCCTTTCCCGAGGGAACAATTATCAGTTATCCGTCGTGCATCGTAAAACGTCAGAATAACGCAGAAACATTTACTGATATTTCAGCTAAAGTGAAATTTGAGATCTCTTGGAACACACGACGGTAAAAAACACAGTAACTTGTGTTAAAAGATATTCAGCGCGACCAGATGAACACTGAACTAGGAGAGTCGAAATATGAGTTGTAAATCTTTGGTCCGAAATGGGTTTAATTGTGGTCAACACTGGGGGAAAAAAAATGGCATGCAAATTTTTAATATTATTATCATGTTTACTACCCACGCATTGCGATAATACTAATAATTATTGTGATTCTAACGCATTATTAGTCCTCAGTATTCTGTTTACGACTCGGTAAACATATTTATTCAACATAAATTGACATTATGATCCCCGAATAACTGTGGCGGTGTACACTTCTACTTTCCCGAAGAGTGTTCTCCGATAACAAAAAATCACGACAGACAGCATCTCGAATGCTACATATAGGCCCACAGACCCCTTTTAATAAAATACGAATTTTCTCGCAGCTGATAAAAAGTCCCGAAACGTCGTGAGATGCTCAATTTCAAGCTGGAATTGCTGTAGAAAATTACATACCCCTGGCGAATGGCATCCCGCAACCCTCACAAACGCTCTAAATTCTGAATTTTAATATTTTATCGTCATCCTACCTAGAGGCAACTGCAGATATTCTGTGACAGGAATTAGATTTTATAAGAGTTTTGCCTGGAGGTACAGTAATTATTATTAAGAGTTACAGGAGCGTTCAAAAGACTTTCCACACGCCGTTCATAAAATGAGGGCAGGGCAGATCGTACTCACCTCATTTGTGGAGGAAACGAACTCCCAAAACCTCCAGGCTCTCTGACGTTTTTCGGCCTCTACGTTCAACGCGTCAATCCGATGTTCCAAGTCGCGAATAATTTCATCTTCCGTTAATTTGTGAGTCGTCAGTTGTTCCGTAACTTCCGTCAGGTTTTCATCTACGAACTTGAACCTTTGTTCCATGGCGTCTATCTCACGCATAACCTGTTCTTCGTAATAGTCGATATTGGCTTTCAACTCCTTCCAGAGGGCACTCGACTTTCTAGTGTTCTCCTCAAGCATTTCGCTAACATCGACAGTTAAACTCTGACTCTGATGAGACAATTTTACAAACTGATCATCAATCATAAGTGCAATTTGATTTTTGGCTTCGTTAATAATCA